TGGTGAGGGTGAAACGTTGGTTGTACATCAAGATGTATGTCATCTTGACCTAAAGCTTCTTTAGGCAGCTCAACTGCTGCAGTCCTGTTGGTGGGGACAGAGCTGAGGGAGTTCCGTGTTTTAATGAGATTCGGCTCCTCAGCTGTTTGGTAGCTCAGCAAAGAGCAGCCGTCATCAGGTATCACATAGAAAGTTCCTCGGGTTGTGTTGCTCTGTGACAGATAAATGTACCCAGGATAGGAAGCGTGTGCTTGGAACCGTAAGAGAATATTTGGATGCTAGTTGGCCGTAGATCTGGTGGCTGATGCTGGTATTTATAGGTGCTGTCACTAAGGACGCTCACAAGAGCTCCCAAATGAGTGATTATTAGTATGCATGTGTTGTTCATTTCAGTGTCTGTTTGCAGTATCTCAAAAAAAAAAAAAATCAACATTTCATATTATAATGTGAAGGATAAATTCACTTGTAGCATTTAGAACAAATGCCTTTTTAGTTGTTGGTGTTTTTTTTATTATTATTTAGACAAAATAGCCTTTTATCTGTCATCAGTCATTATATGAAAATCTGTGCACCCCATTTTAATTGTTTGTGGTCATTCGTATCTACGCCTTTCATTATATTTGAGTGTTGTTCTATGCCTGATGCTTGTAATTCTGACATTTCAAGGGGTCTACCATGTCGTAGGAGATCTTATAGAGACAAATCATGCTATCTCAGAGCACAGCTAAAAAGTCTGGAGGACGTGCAGCTCTGAATAATTTGTGCTTTGAACTCATAGTTTGAACTCATAGCATTTGAAACCTTGTGGTCTACATTTTTCACTTGGTGAATGCATTACATTTCTGGTTCTATGCAGTTCATATTGCATGTTTCTTTTTTCCACAGTGTTTAGGTTTTGATACATACATTTATATCTGCTGTCTTATCAATGTTGCACATTTTTTCAGTTCTCATGGCTCATCATTCATACACTGATAATGCTCAGATTATGAATTAATTCTCTCTGTTTCACTCTCTGTGGAAAAATCTGTACTGTATTTAGCACTTCTTTGCAATCTGCTAATCACAACAGACTCGTGATGCTAAAGCCTTTTTGCACATCGCTCTGTAAAAAGAGCATCTGCTAAATGCCATAAATGTAAATGTCATGCACTTTTTTTTCAGCCATAAGCAGGAGAAAATGCTTTGAGTCTACACTTATATTCAATGCAGTCACATAACTGTTGAATCATCCAATGGGGTCTGACAGGATGTAGTTCATTCTCTGTATCAAATGCTGGGAAGGAGTGTGTTGCATGATGTTTCTGTTATAATCTTCTCACCAATCCTTTTGTCACAGATATGTTTGTGATCAGTTTCAGAAATGTGTACCAAAAAAATCAAAAGTTTTAATTGCTACAAGTGAATTTGGGCATCACAAAAAATGTACAGTATAAAAAATCTGCTAAAGTTTGATTTATTAAATGTTATTAAATTATTAGTGTTGATGAACTTTAAATCAGCATTCTTTCTACTGTGCAGAAAACATCAAAGGCTCAACATCACTTAGGTGTTTTTTTCATTCTTTTAAAATTAACAACATCAAACTGCTTTGCAAAGTCTTTTATGGTACTGTCTTTGCAGTATACAGCATAATTTCTTCTGTTCATTTTTGCATTCACTTGCTTATCACAATGAGATGGTTCTTCCCGTTTACTGATTGGAAGCTTGTTAAGATCCAGGGGAACACATCCCGCTGGCCAGGATTAGTTAGAAGAACTGTGATTCATGACAGCTCTGTGAGGTCTATAGTGATTGTGATTGTAGATTCTCTGATGAATAAGCACACTCAGTAGGCTTTAAAGTTTGTAATGATTGCATGGTAACCAGATGAAAGACAGGAGGATGCAGCCAATGAAAAATGCCATTACTCTCTCAAGAAGCCACTGCACAAAAGGTATTCCTTTCAGGGGCGAAAAATTCTGCTCAGTTTAACAGCCATCACTGTGATGTAGAGGAATGGGCCAATTTCAAGGTGTTCAGGATGAGCTTGTTCAGTGACATTCACTTGATTGCCTACAAATTGCCTACACTTTCTTCTATGATTAGTTCTGTAATGCCTGAACATTCATCCTCTTGAAATACTGATAAATTAAATGTGCATCAAGTGCCTTTCGTAAGCACCTATCCACAAAAACATACTAAACAAGACAAGACTACCTTACTCATATAAACAATTTCTCAAATGTAGCAATTTTAGACTGCCTGGTGTTACCATATTTGTTCCCCTTCAATGGAAAGTTAATACTTTTTATGTCACGACTGCAGAGGATGCGGTCAGGTATACCAGACGGGTCAACTGCTAATATTTGATGTAAAGGATGGAATAATATCGGGAATCAACAGGCACGTGCGGACTGTGGGTCCAGTAGCCAAGACTACTGTATTTCGACTCAATTCGGTACCCGCTGATAGGCAGCTGCATTCAAACAGTCCTGTGTTTATTTGTTTTTATGCTCTGTTTTATTGAGCATTGTAGCCAATCACACTGCAACGGAAATGATTGACAGCTTGATTATAAAAAGGAAGCACTCTTTGCTCGCTTTCTGTATATAATCTATTCACAATTTGTATAAATGTTTTAGTTTTCATGCTGCTAAGAGGGCCAGTGGCCACTGACTGTATGCACCGCAGATACAAGGCAACGGCATTTAAATGCAGAGTAAATCTGTTGAAAAGGCTCATGGCTTCAAGGCGTCTATATAGCCTGTGGTATGATTTATGCACATTTGTTCAAAAATAGCCTGTATGGGTGGATTTTTCATGTGATTTAGGCAAAAGTTTTGTATTGCTTACACAATGAATGCACATTCACTTTGTTTCTGTTAATTATTACCATGTTGGGCTACGTGTCTATTGTTCTTAAATGCATCTACTCCTAATGCCAAATATTGGTTTGATTGCTTGTGTTACAAGAGAAACTCAAAAATGTTTGTCTACTTGATCAAGGGATGTAGTAGATTTAATGTGGGTGCTGTTCAGGTCACAGTGTTCATGTCAAACCGGTCGGCTTGGGAACAGAATTAAATTAGTGCTGCTGTCGGATAACGGCTTGGGTGTTCTGATAAGTACTGCGTGTGTGGGGTGGGTTTACTAAACAGGACCCATGCAGGACTCTGTACTACACTGCACACATCAACACATATTTTGCTGATGGAAACTAGTGTGTGTTTGGCATAATTTCGCACCTAAGCTAGTTTGGAATCATGCACTTTACAAATAGGCTTGACATAAGTTGCCTTAGGAAATAAATCTGATGGGCTGTTGCAAAGCATCATGGGAATGTGTTGTTTTGCTCTCACCCTCTTATAAAAGTTTAGTGCATTTAAAGGGGTCATATGATGCTGCTAAAAAGAACATTATTTTGTGTGTACCATTAATTGTGGCCAACATGTATTAGAGAAAAGCATTTATTTCATAATGAGATTCCCCCCCATTTTAAATTCTTATTCTTTCATGAAAGGTTCAATTTTTGTATATTTTTAAAATAAAAGATCAATAGGATTAACAATGCAGGTTTATTTTCACAGCCTTTTTTGATCATGCACTAGAGTTTACGGTACATTAAATACAGGTGCGTTGCACATCCATCAGAGGAACTGAAAAACAGCACAGATCGCTTGACGGAGAGAATGATGCCCTGTCAGGCCGGAGCGATGATTCAAAAACATGAAAACCCATTATAAACGAGGCATTCGTTGCATCCAGTGTCTGAATGAAAATACTCAGAATGAAAGCTCTCTTCTCCAATTTGAGCTATATTCCCTATGGTTTATGTCAGAACGTGGTTGCTAAGTCCATGCTTTTCCTGTGGAATTGGGTTACTTTTAAACTGTTGCCGCAGGTTGATTTTTTCCCCTGTGAGCCAAATGTTTCATATATTGCATAAATTATATTTGACTGAAATGATTGTATTGAAATATTTTAATTTTACCCATGATAAAACTGTGCGGGAGTGGCACTTGTATGGAACCTTTCAAAAAAAAAAAAATGGCTTACTAAAGTGATTTTTCATTTTAGGTATGGGCGTTGTAATATTTGGACTAAGGTTATTGGGCTAGTTTTGAGCTTTTTTATTGGCCTTTGGGCTAGTGGCAACCCTGGGGATGATGCAGTTTGACTTTGGCTTGGTTTGTCTTTGTTGATATCTGTATTGAGAAATTGCAGTGTGGCCATCAAAGTCATAGCCTGCCATTTGGTATTTTTTATTAGACCAGCGATGGATGAAGATGACGATAATGGGATATTAAGCAAACACAAATGTTGGCATGATTGTTTGTTTAGAGGCGAGTGTGTGAGATTAGCTTGGGTAGAGAATGAAATAGGACTTGTTATGCAGACGTCAACAGTTCGATGTTTGATGCTGTGCTGTAGACTGGGGATTGTGGATGGCTGCTTGTTAAGAGTGTAGTATAATATCCCAGTGTAACTTTGTGAATAGTGATGGGAGAAACAAAGCTTTTTGAAACTCTGAATGAATTGAACCATTTGCTTTGCAGAATGATTCACTGTTTTAAAGCACTTGAAACACCACAGGCTGACGGAACCTGCTGGTCAAAACAGTGAAAATGCAGAGGAGAAAATGAGTGGAATGTTTGAAACAAGCTCCAAACCACTGATTCGAAACAAATGAGCCATAAATGTTTCAGTTAATGAATACTTACAGTATCTATATATAGAAGTATATAATACACATTTAAATACGATCTATAATAGTACAATTTCAAAGCAATTGTATTGGAATTTTAGGTAAGTAACCACCTAGTAGGTGGTCATAGTAGCACAGAAGGAAGAAAATTATACTGTACATAAATAGTAAAATACATGCAAAATAATAATTCTTGTAATTATAAATTACATATATTTAACAACAATTATTTTTTTATGTTTGACCTAATATAGTTTAGGTTTGTCTGAAAAGCACAGGAAACATTTAATCACAATAACAAGAATGCCTTTACCTGTGATGATGTTGTCCACCAATGTTGTAGGCATGCAGAAGATGCCAACCAACAGGTCACTGATGGCCAGGTTGAGAATGAAGAGATTGGTGACCGTACGCATGTTCTTGCTCCTTAGTACAATGAAGCACACCACTCCATTTCCCACCATGCACACAATAAAGATGAGGAGGTAGGATACAATGAAGATAGCGGACACCAAGGGCTCATGCAGATAGAAGTCCACGTAGGTGACGTCTGGATAAGGATATGGACGAGAGGAGGTATGGTTCACTGAAACGTTGTGGCCGTTCTCCACAGGGGAGAAGAACGGAGATGATACAGTGGAGTTTGGGTCCAATAGTTTCAGCGCCATCTTTCTGAGGAGAGAGAGAAAATAAAGAATATCTGACCTGTCTTTCATCTACATTTCATATGGTATAGCCTATATAAAAGATATAGCAGTGATTAGGTCTGTATCGAAGAGAGTTTAAATCGATCTCAATGTACAGTGCGTGTCAATATTTGCTCTTCATGCTATTAAGTGAAGATCTACTTTAAAGATACATTGAACAGCAGCGCGATTTGCTAAAGCAGCATATTCAGCGGCCATCCTATCACATGCACGCTGCTTGTGTGGATGCAGTCAGTTTTGACCGCAAAAAAATATATATGTATTTGACCGTTTACGGCAACCCCATTTTCCTGTTTTTACATTAGAAGCGGCATTTTGCTTGTCAGAAATATGTTCGGTTTTAATGTTGCTTTAAGTTGGGCCTGTTGGGGTATTAAATGAATGCCAAAACTCAGATTTTTGTTCGCGTAACCCCCACCTTCATCTCACCGCGTACCCCAGTTTGAGAACCACTGGTCTAGAAAAGACAATCTCATCTCTATGCTATACCTTTTAAAAATATTCAAGTAACTAACTATCCAGTATATGATGCTGGAACCCTCTTTCACATTACATTGAAAAGAATACTTCCACCACTTCAATACCCTTTGTCATATTCCCACACGGTACAATCAAATGTCATTATTTTAATGAACTACTGTAAAAGGTGTGCACAAATCCTCTCTCAGGCATATTACCGCACATTAACATGTTGTGTGCTTTAAATGTTATAAATCCTATTCCATAATCTAACCAACTAGTTGTGTGCAGTTGTCTGTGCTTTGCATGGCTAAAATGGGGAGGTTATGAATCATTTAAATTGTAGTCACATCTTGTAAAAGAAATTACATTATGTATGATGTCACTTAAGAGTACTGGAGGAGAATCTGTGCTTGGTTGCAATCTTTAATCTGCAAGCTCCCTTCCTCTGACTTGAAAGCTTAAGGCGAGGTCACATATGCAGATAAACAAGTGTGACATACAGGATATGACAAAATGCATGAAGGAGATAAGGCACATGGATTATTGGGCCATTTTTCCAGTCCTCCTAATAAATAGTTTAAAAAGCAGTGCAATTGCTGCTTTGTTTTTTTATGCTTTGCAAACTAGAGTATTTTATGAAATAAAAATACTTTGAATGTGAATTTTTGTTGAGGGATCTGTATAGTAAAAGACTTGAAGAGATGGGAGCAATGAGGTGTAAAAGCTCAAGTTTAATAGAGTTAGGATGTGACAGCACATTACAGATGTTTTTATTGAATTATTTAGTTTTAATGTCAGAAATGAAATGTCTTATTGAATCATGTTGACAGAGATCTCTAATCATATTTCACAGCAGTCTGATGAAGTGTTTCTAAATGGCAGATGGCGTGTATAATTCAAGGTTCAATTCACATGAATTTACTGTCATTTTCACCTTCACCTTGACTATTCTTTGAGATGAGAGAGAACAGTGGTTTTTCTATAAAAGACACATGCGACCATATTAGTGGCACAAACCAGCTATTTCAGCAAGTATAAATTTGAAAATTAATGCTTCAGATACATTAGAAAATTAAAGACAATATGACGGTCTACAAACACTTAAAGCTTAAAAAAATAATTGCACTTGAACACAATGCTGCCAATGAAAAAAAAAGCTGGCAAATACATTTGTGACAAACCTTCCTTAGTTTGTTATTGAAGTGCATGCAGTCGTTTTTAATAAAAATACTGAGCGGGTAGAAACAGGCTGCATTTATTCATAAGAATTAAGTTGTTCTATAGCTGATTTTTGAATCACGTTGACTCAAATTGAGGACAAATTTCAAGCAGCCGCTAAAATTCTTTATTTTTTGTAATTATTTTAAAAAGAGTTATTAAAAATAATCAGTAGCCTACATGACAGGTTTAAAATGCTCAGAAAACAATTAAGCTGCAATAGCCTTGAAGTCTGTCCTTCATAACTCTTGATCAACATTTCATATGTACATATAAATGACCATGCATCAGTTATTTATAGTCTGTTTTGACAGAACTTAATTTGTATTCAAAGTCATTTTTCACTTTCAGATTACTGCTGCCTTATACAATTGATGTGATCTATGTTACTGTGAATTCTGAAGGACATGACCTCCCCAAGCATCAAATCACAGCTGATAGTGAGTAGATGAGATGTAAATTATGACTGGTTTGACACTCAATATTGTCCACCCCCATTTGAACGGTCTTGTTTTCTGATTCAAAAGAATTGTCTTTGGGTTGAATGACTGAACGGCAAATGCAAAAAAAAAAAAAAAAGTATTGAAAGTGTTGTATAAATATTACAGTATATTGTCACTGTCTTGCCTTCATGCTCTGCAAACACGTACAGTACCTGAAAATCATAAATATCAAAACTCATAACTTTGTATTTTGCAGGTAAAAAGACATCCTGAAAATGTTAAAACTTTTATTGTAATACAATAATAATAATAAAGTAATTACTATAAGTCCCTTTGGCACCAACAATATGCCATCCTGAATCACTGTCAACATATTTTATACAGTTAATTTCTGGCAATCACAGCTGACATATTTTTCCCATATATTTAACAAGATATTTTTACAGTGTACATTCCTTATTTCTCTTTTGAAAAAGGCATATATATAAACCAGAAAACACTGAGGTGCTAATGCACTTCAATGGCAGCAGTCTTAGTCATAATCATAAAGTATCTAAATGCAGTATTTGAATTAGGCAGCATTACTCACACCTAACCCACCTGCTTTGTGCTCCACTGCTTTATTGTCTGACTTAATTGTATTCCGTCCCCTTACATAATTTTTTTCTTCTATGAGGTTCATTTACAGTGAAAATGCAGTTTTGTTTTTGAAAAGCAAAACCAGGAACAAAGACAATGATTTGCATTGATATATTATGAAACCAATTTAATCTTTCTCAGGATTACGAAGCAATACTAAAAGTGTGCCGACATAGTTTATGTGTGCTGCAGTGAAGTCCCTCATGCTTTTGGCTTCCAGTCAAGAGTTCACATCCACTTAATAGCTCAGTGACACTCATCCATTAAGCATGAAGACTTGCACACATCGGAGAGATGGACCAGAGACGAGAACTGACAAGATCAACATTCTTTTGTCAATTTGCAAAGAAACTGCACAAAGCTTGGTATTTTTGTCTGTGAGCATGAGCACCTCAATGTCTCTGTACAGAGTTTGAGGCAAATGTCAATGGAGAGAGCCTATATCATCTATGATGAATTGTGGACAACAAGATGTAGAAGTCAATGTAAAAAGCCATCTGCTAAATGAAATTCTTCTGCATTCAATAACTCTGCTGAACAGTGCTGAGATAAAGTGAACTGTATTAAACAGAGATAAACTGTGCTTCATTTTTTAGTAACGTATAGTACATCTGTCCCTGCTGCCTAAAATATAAACGCCTTTCCAGAACAGCCTGATCATTTCAGCGAGTCTGAAAAAGAAGAACTGATTTCAAAGTCAGATATGTGTTAGTGTTTAATATTGATAAGATTTCTGATTAAATCTGAAGTCCCACAGTATAGCTGAACTTTATAAGTATATTTCATATGGCTGCACATAAATCTTTTGAACTAACATAGATTTCTTATGCTACTATAGAATAAAATGTATACTATAGAAAAAAACCATGTTGTTAATACATGAGAATAAGAAAACATTAATGTTGGCTTAAGCATGAAATGTTCTGTAATAGTAGGAAATGCTACGCTGACATCATATTATCCTACTGACTAGTAGCAGAGGAAACTCAATGAAAAAAAAGTAATCTTATGCGAAACGCTTAGAATAAATATACTTTTTTTGTATGTGTGTGTGTGCACATTCCCCTTCAACTTTAGAGAAAAATATGCTTTCGTGTTTTCATACATACGTGTTGGGCAATTATTTTCAACCAGCCTCTTTCCTACTTTATTTCAGAATCAGAATTCAATCCTCTATCTACCACTTATATGAGAAAAAAAAAAACATATTCAGAGACTGAACATATTTTAATCAGCCATATCTTGTGGGAGGGGCTCCATAACAGCTAGCTAGCTAAACAAAATATTATTTGTAAATTATAATAAATATTTTCTGTCAGTTCAGGTCACATTTATTTACATAGCGCTTTATACAATACAGATTGTTTCAAAGCAGTCGTCTATTATTCATGCCATATAAATCAGCATTTAAGTCATACCTTTTGCAAGGTCTTTGCTAAGGGCAGATCAAACTGTTTTGTGGACTCGAATGAACTGTGTTGCTTAAATGATGACGCATCCAGCGGTACACACTGTGCCTCTTCTGGAGTGTGAACATTAAAAATCTTACCCGCTTTCTCAGAGCTTCCCATCCAAAAACAGCAGCAATTTCACCCCAAATATTTGAACTGCCCATGCACTGTTTGATCAAATGATTGAACCCCCACTTATCTTTGTTATAAAACTCTGCATTACCAATAAAAACACATCCAGAATTTCAATTTTGCAATTTATCTTACAGAAAACATCTAAATAAAGACTTTGTGTTGCATTTTATGGGTTTAATTTGTATTCAAAACCATCATATGCTCTAAAACCTCCATGTGGTCAAAGGTAAATTTTTTTCCTGTTTTTCCCCCCAAACATTTCCTCTCCAATCACAATAACCCTATTTTCTGTCATGTTATAAATAGGATAAAGGTTGACAGGAGCTTTTCATATGCTTATTTCAGAACATCCAAATGGCATGACATTGTTGGCTTTGGTTTCATTCATAAAGCACATTATCAACATGCTCCCGGAATTGGCTCAGTGTAGAAATTCAAGGCAGTCACTTCTAGAAAACATGGAATAAATGAGTAACAAGTTTTATGTGTCCTGCAGATGCCATTCATTTATTCAAGTCAACTGAAGAAGGGGGGGCGGATTCCAATTTTAACATTATGATCATCAATTGAAACTACTGCCTCCACAATTCACTTCAGTTGAAACTACTGCCTCCACAATTCACTAGTTATGAAACTCTTTTATTAACTTATACCATAGCCTAAAAGGTGAGGGCGGCGACGGATAGATGAAGGCAAATTCAGCAAATGATACACTCAAAGAGCTGGTTAAAAGTGCTACATCATACCTCTAATTGTGTGTAATTTTCCTCACAGTCAGCCCACTCCAGAAAAAGCTAAGTCTTCCCAGATTCCAGATATCCTTTATAATAATTCAAGTTATTGAGTGATCTATTCGGTTTTGTAATAATATTGTATTTATGTTCCTACATCTTCCTCGTTCGACACATCACACTGACATGTGCTGTCCTCTGCTGGCATGAAGAACAATGACCCATGCCACTGAAGGTAAACAACGCGATGCTACAACATTTACAGTGCAAATGAAGGTAGGAACTTAAATTCCAAAAAAATGTTGGTTTACTTCACTAATTTAATCAACAGCGGACTTTAAAGCGATAAAAACGGACGTGACTAATTTCGACGGACGGACAGCATGATGAAGCGCCAGAAGCAGTAACTGTAAGTATGCATAAACTTAGGCTACAATAAATATATGATCCATTACAATAATAAATAATAATGTAGGCTATATATTTATAAAAGTGCTAGGTGTCCATGCAAAGCTAACTGAGTAAAGCATTTAAAAAATAAAATATATAAGCTAACCTATAAAAACAAACAAATAAAAATAGTTATTGATATTTTGTTCTTTATTTGTATTGATATACATTTCAGTCAGTATGACTGTCAATAATAGGCTATTTCATATTTAAAAAATACATCGCCTAAAGTACATAAATGAATGCAAATTAATCTGAAATAGAGCCCTGCGATTTCAATCACGTCACGTGACCTTTGAAAACAACATTTTCCTACCCATACACAAACAATGCAAAAAAAAAAAAAAAAGTCTCACCTTCTATGAGATGTTTCCACTCTTGATTCAGAAGAAACTCTTGGTTTTCTTTGAGGTAAAATTAGCGCAAAGTGAGAAAAGATCCGAAAACAGATGTGCAGTGAACTTCTGTTCGGAGTAACCTTGTTCTGTTCACCCGCTGCGCGCTGGTTAGTAAACTGCTGCTTCTGTACGCGCTGCGCTCCTGCTATAAGACCTGATGGAGAAATTCCCGCCCTGCTGCTGCTGCTGCTTCCGAGAGGAAAAGAGGAGGAGAAACAAACTACACACGAGCTGCAATTTCCCCGAAGTGAATAAATACGCCAAAAAAGCTTATAAAATACTATGACATACCATTATAACACATGACTTTTGTGATGTTCTTGTTGAGCCGCTTCCTCATTGCAAGGTAATTTTAATGTAAAACTGCTTTGATTTACATTATTTATCACCATGGCAACTTTAATAGACCTACAAAGGTTGTTCCATGGACAGACCCACCAATTTCAACTAATTATCCATATCTTCAGTAGATTATAGACCTATAATGGATTGGGGTTTTTGAGCACCATCTCAAACATCAAGTTACATGTTTCATAATGATAATTATAGATTCAAATGTTCTTTTGTGTGACATACCACCTTAAAAGAGCTGACTATGTGGGATGGGGCTACATGGGCTTTCTGCATGATTCACTGTTTATTTTTGCCATAAGGTGCCCTCAGGTGTTTAGGGGAGGTTAAGCATATCATCATAGACATTAATAGTTTAAGTATTTTAAATAACCCACTGCTTTTACTATGCTTGCATTTGTCTTTGATGATAAGGTCACTTGTTCTTACTCCTACTTGATAGAAATTTAAATCTTGTGTATATCAGATTATATTTATTTATTGTTATAAACCAAAGCAAAGCTTTAAATTGATTCTCAACATCTTGCCTCCAAACAAGAAACCATTTCCCAAATCACAACACGTTCACATTAAAAGTTTGAAAATAGGAGTGGGAGGTACAAACTTAATTAATTAAAGGGGACATGGAATGCAAAATTCACTTTTACATAGTGTTTGAACTTAAATGTGTCTAGGCAGTGTGTGTACACAACCACCCTATAATAATAAAAAATCCACTCACAGGGATACCCCACAGAAGAGAGGGGTGGGGAGAGCAGAGATCATTAGCATTTAAAGGGAAATTTCTAGGATTGGCAACACAGGACCACCGATTAGGAGCCACGATCACAGAAATCACCACGATGGCAATTTTTTGTCTGGGACAGCCGAAAATTGTGCAGTGTGTTCAGGGTTTGAAGCTGCAGTCCATAAATTTTGCCTCTTTGTCGCCATCTCTGTTTGAAACCTGCAATTGCAGTTATTTGTGGAATTATCATCTTCACGTGGGTTGTGCATCCGCACGGCTGCTCAGAGCGAATTACCGTATTGGCCCGAATATAAGACGACCCTGATTATAAGACGACCCCCCCTTTTTCCAGATGTACCTTTTGGAAAAAGGCTTTTTAAAAACCAAATCTTGTTTTTTCTCAGTAAAACACATTTTGTCTTCAATTATTTTCATATTGCTAAAGCATATTTTTCCTATTTTAATTTTTGTTTTGAAAGTATGGTAAAAACTGGTAAAATATACCAACAATCACATTTAAAAATATATACACTTTTTGATATACCACTAAAAAAATAAAACAGGTAGCCCATCTGAATTAGGACATTCAGGCTATCCATCTAATAGTAGCCTACCAAAATCTTATTAACAGCAGAAGTTAAATCTTACCGTAGTCTTCAAATCTGGGTACTGTCTTACATTTTAAAATCACAAAGGGAGTTTGGTCCCATCAGGCTAAAATGACAGTCACGACTCATGCAGCTGTAAGGTTTTCTGCTTCTTTTGTTATTACTCGAGATCTTTACAACACGCATTACATTACATAGGCTATTTCATGGCACACTCGTTTTATGCGTATTTGGCGCCACCTAGTGTTGTGGGTGTATTATTGACATGTCAAAGTCTAGACCCTGAATATAAGACGACCACGGTTTTTCAGATGTATTTCCAAGAAAAAAATATCGTCTTATATTCGGGACAATACGGTAATCTAATGTTTTGAGGAGTATCAGTGGCTGTCAGTCACCGCACAGGTGTGGATATTCACTGTACTTCGGAATCACTGATTCTCTGTCTTGGAAGTATGACCCAAATAAGAATGTTAATGTTAACAACATCAGCATTGCGTGACTATGTGTATTTAGTGTGTATTAGCGTCACCTGTAGAACACTGGTGACTATGGGTGAATCTTCAGTTGTCACTGATGATTGTCGTATTGACCTTTCTGGATTACAATCCGCCATCAAAATGATAGGCTAAGTTTTATTATTCCAGCTGCTGTGAGAAAAGGCTATTAATGATCCTGCAGCATCCTCACATGCGATATAGCCTACTAACCAGAACTCCTTTTTTATGTTTACAGACGTGATGTAATGACACAAAGATGAATGGCAGCATGCTTGTATTACCTGCAAAAACCTACCAGTACCACTCAAATTATTATTACAAGTTTACCGTTGTGAATCGGGCTAAGGTAAGGAGATAGTTTTGAACACTGGCTGGTTATGAACTTGCCCAAAAATTGATTTTGGATCATTTTTAACAAAAAAAGTTATGGACTGCAGCTTTAAGTATCCTTGTTTTTATAACTCTTATTATGAATAGTGTAGCACAGTGTCCCAGGAGCAGCTGGAGGCTGTTATTCTCTGAGAACGAAAATCTGCTATGTTTGGTGTGCTATGCTGGAATAAAAATGCATGTACTTTATGCATGTACTGACAGGCCATCAAGTACGTCCTGTGTCATTTGTAAGGAACTTTGAAATTGGGCTGACAAAGTTGACATATCAAAGGACAAATATTCTTGATGAGATTCAAATGCACACCTTCATTTTTCTTTCCCTCTCTGTATTAGTCATTCACACCAATTCAATACCTACCACACAGTCAGAAAAAAAGTAATCCACTTCCATACCAATATAAAACATATGCTAATGCTTTGCAACAGTTTGAAATCCCGCAATGTGTACATGCGCCTGGCATGTTTTCTTTAATTATCTGAATCAGAAATATTGCCACTTTCCCTGTTCTATTTGTGGAATATGTTTCAATATTCAAAATAGCACACTGAAAACAGAACCAGACTTGTTTATCCAAGAACACACACATAGCATCATTATATACAACAGCCCAAGGTATTATTTCTCTCTTAGTGTTGTTGAGTGAATGTCTTTGTTATCTGGTGTTGTTTTCATAATGGCTGGTGACTGGTCTTTTTTTTCCCCCAGTGTTTCCGCTGCACTCTGTTTGCAACTATTGTGACATCACTTTTTGGCACAGCTATGGTGGTTGAGAACAAGAGATTTTGCAACCTGAGCAGTCACACAAAACTCCAAAACCTGAGCACAGCCTGGATAGATTCCAAGACAGCTTGCAACTCAGTGCCACCCACATGCCTCTACTAACTACCTTCATCAGATATTCAGTGGGCCTCCGAAGGGAAAAAATAGAGACAAAAAAAAATGACCCTATGCTCAGGCATCTTTCAAGATGGTGTTATCGCTACTGCTTGTATACCCTTCGGCTGGCCAAATGAGGAAATCTTTTTGAAAGCTCTTTGGCATTTCAATGCCAAACCATCCTGGTCAAAATATGAAACATCTGTGAATACAGTCAATATTTCGGACAGCAACTTGAGGCAGCATGTGTAGACGAAGAGGAAGAAGAACACAAAGTGTCATGGCAAGACAAGTCCATTCATGGCATATACTATCACCAGACTGCAGAGGTGGTTGACACCGGGAAATTGTACCAGTGACTGGAAATGGCAAACAATCCAGCATCTTATAACAGATATATACAGAATATAAACCACCCTCTAAACTGATGATAGCATGCATTGGAACTGGCATACACTTTAAATGAATAGTATCTTCTGGATAGCATGTGCACAGCATGTATACTGTATACTGATTTTCTATTTAATAGAAATCAGTATGCAGATAGTACCAAGATAATATGCCATTTCAAACATAGCCTTGTACTTCCTGTTTAACTGTTAATCCCCCAAAGAATTCAACCCAGACTGCACCCAACTCATGTCAAATATGTAAAATAAATAAATCTAAATGGTGATAAGGAGTGGGGGGAAAGTATTGTATGATTTTTAGAAATTAAATTAACTAGACTCTATAAGTGAAACCAATGACGATGGATGGTAGATAGAAGGAGAAACAGTGGTTTAGGTATTACCCAGGCATAATGATCAGATGCAGAATTTGGGAAATAATGTTTTTAACCTGTCTTGGTAACCTGTGCTTTGACCATGAATACTTTGAAAATCTTACTGTTAATAATAAAGCATCCTATTATACATTGCTTCTACACAAGAAACACAGAAAAAGTTCAATGATAAAGTAAAGGTCTTATAACACTGATGCAGAAAAATGGATGACAATGTTTTTCCCAAAGGTTTTTCTGCTATATAAGGGAGAGCTGGTAATAGGAAAAAAATGAAAATGTTCTAATGCTGTTTAGTCTGTTATTTAAAAGCTTAGAGGCTTTTGTTGATTGAGACATAGTTTATGGTTGATTCAGCATATGATTACGAAAGCAGAAGAAGAATCTGAGTGTTTGTCCAATAACAATAGAAAGCACTTACTTCTTGCCACTTAAGAGGTTTTCACTCCCAAATATCATGATCTCCTTCCAAGGGAGTCTCATATATTTTAATGTTTAAAGACCAGTTTGTATAGTCACTGCACTCATTTAAACTGCTTTTCAATAAATGACAGAGACATCATGAAACATCATGGAGTTATTTCATTCTACTAAATATTGACCCAGCTGACATTTATCAGAGTAAAGGAATTTGTGGTTTTTGATGTCACTTTAAATTACAGAAATATAACTGTGTATGTGTATATAAAACGATACCCTCATTGGGTGCTAAGCCCCCCTAAGATTGAAATCCTAGAAATGCCCCTGGTTACCTGTCACATGGAAAGATACATGAATGGCGCTCCATATGTAGCCTGCATGTGCCT